TTTAAAGCTTTTCCAGCAATGCCCAACCTTGGTTTTACCATTTGCCACCTAGCCTCTTTTCCCCTTGAGTTTCCGGAGCCCGAGGGTCATCTTATTTTAAACCCCCCCGGGCTAGTGCTCCTCCGAGTGTTGGTCCACCTGTCAGCTGTCGGTGGCCACCAGGAGCAACTCTGGGCTGGCCTACCCGTATCTAAGACAATCTGAGTGTGCCCTGAGAAAGAGATATGTGCAGCTCCTATCGGGATTTGTTGGCACATTCGGGCGGTGTTGTTGGTCTTGTTTTAACCTGTCGAAATGTCTTGAAGAACCGAGGTACCGAGTCTGATCGGAACATCTCGGGAGGAGGTCTATTCCTTCGTTGACCGTGAGAGCTTATCATGGGCTAAGTTGGGACTCCCCTGCAGGGATTTGAACTTTCGAAAGTCGTGCCCGCGGTTATGGGTAGATGGGAATTTGTTAATGTCCGGTTGTAGATAACTTGAACCTTAACTTAACTAAAATGAATCAACTGAGTGTTACCGTGATGGCCTCTTCACGGCGGAGTCCGGGAAGTGGACACGGTGTTGGAGTAATGTTTGCGCGGGTTGCTCTCTAGTTTCTCGCTCGCGCTTTGCCTCCTCTTCTCGCTCTCTTTTGCGAACAGGATAGCCACCATATTTGCTAGTCGCTTGCTGCAGCTCCACATATTTACCTTGCCTTACCTATGAGCTTAAATAGTCTTGATCGTGAGGGTGCGAGATTGCTAAGTCCCTGTGGCTCACAGATTACTATTACACCAAATGCAGGGCCTGATGATTCCGCTTCAGATGACGCGCTTGAGTTCAAGTGGGAGTTCGACGAGGACTCTCGGCGGTACTACGTGTCTTTCCCTGATGATTAGTAGTGGTGCCCAGTTGGGGGTGATCGGGACCGTGTCGCATGTTGGGTTATCTTTTATTTTGGCGCTGTAGTCGGGCCATGAATATTTGGATGATGTAATGTTATTTATGTACTTGATTGACGTGACGAGTGTTAGCCAACTATATTATCTCCTCTTTTATTACATATATATTACATGGGATGTTGTGAAAATTGTCTAACTTGCAACATATGCCTTCAATGCGATTATGCCGTTAAGTCGTGCCTCGACACGTGAAAGATATAGTCGCATCAAGGGTATTACATCCTATGCCTCGACACTGAAGAGAAAGACCCAAGGCTCCCCTGCCCAGCCTCCACTGCCGGAGCGACGGGCCGAGGGAACGAGAGCCAGCAGCGAAGGTACAGGAACCACTCGCCTCGATCTCGTGAGAGAGATAGAGACGAAAGCCATTTCGCTACAGCATGTGCTTTGCGATCAGCTATATGGAATAAAAGGTGCCCGAGGAGAAGCCAAACTTACATGTACAAAACCCGCACGATAGAAATGTGCGCGTTGTCGGCATGTGCCTAAGGCCAACTCCAACGCTAGACCTCAAACGCGACGCGCGGGCGCTCGAAGGCAGCAGCGCAGGTTCGCCACGCCTACTAGGTGTTCGAGGAAATGACAAGGACGGACCTCTCGTCAAATAGGGTAGCACCATTGGGTGCAGAGGCCGTGTCCGCCTCTCCGTCCGCGTCCGTTGTCCGTTTTCTTATTTCAGGCAGACAAAATCCGAACAAATCGAACGTCCGTTTTGGATCGCCGGTTGGAGTTGGCCTGAACACCCTGTGCGCGGTCGGTTTGCTGCTGCAGGTGCCGCATGCTCGAGAAGTCCGTCTCTCGGCACCCAAGAATGAAGACCAGTCCCCACAAAAAGAAAGAAAGAATGAAGACCAGAACAAGCTCTAACAGCAAATAGAAGAGGAAGAGCACAACGGGAAGGGGAAAACCATTTGTTACGATGCGCAGTGACAGACAGATGCAGAAGAAACCTCATCAGTGTTAAACACGTCAAATTCCGCAGCGCATCGCACCGCATCGCACGGCCGGACGACACGGATCCGAAAGCCAGGAGAGAAGAGATACATCCGGTTTCACTCTTGAAGCTGGCTCGCCACCGTGCCAGTTCTTGGCAAAGATTCCAAAGCCAGGAGCCCAGGAGTGCTGTATCCATCCTGTTCGTCCACTAGGCTGCTAGCTAGCGCGGGAAGCCCTCCTCTGTGGAGCACCTGCGGAAGACGCCAGGCTAGCGCGCCACCGTGTCACCTCATCAGATGCCACACCCCTCGCCATCTCATCAAATCCAGAGGGTGCCTCCATGCATGCAGGCGCACTCGTCCACAGAGCCCCTGATTGATCTGAGCTTCCCCTTTATACTCGATTCGAATGCGCCAAGAGAGGTTTCAGACTTCAGACGCAGAATCTATCTATCTGTCCATCTCATCTCGGAAGTCTGAACTACTCACTGCTCCGCCCATCCAAGTCCTGGAGGTCAATGATGGCAGGCAGGCAGGCTGCCGCATTTCCTCCAACTGACACGCACACTGCTCGGTGCTCCGTGCTCAGTATTCCTCCACGGGCGCCTCTTTCGGGCCTCGGAACATGTCTCGCCGGGTTGCCACAACCGGTAGGCCACCACGCCGTGGCAGGGTCACTCGTCCTCTCCTCAGTGGCGATCGAATCATGCTGTCCCTGGCTAGAGCTCCCGGTCCCGGACACTGGATCGATGTCCTCCACGACCAATAGCTCCTTCGCATTCTCTCTGTTTTGTCCCGGTCCTTGGAGATTCCATTATCTGATAGGATATGGTACATTTGAATTAGCTAGCAAGTCTCTTCCAACTTGGCAGTTGATGAGCCCGGGAAAGAAAAAGGTTAACCTTTCTCAAGAGATTCTGCGCGGCTACCTTACCAGACTGTCCCCTCATGTCTGGTAGTACTCCTATCTCCTGCAAGAACACTAGCTCGTAACTTCTTTGATGGCCGAACCTGAATTTACCTGATGAGAGTGGCAGATGTGCTCTTAATCCTCACTTAGTGATCATCCCCTAGTTTTGATTGCTCTCCAGGTGATCCAACATATTTTCTCCTTTCTCAGCTAAACCTTAGCTTACAGTTGATCACTATGGCATGTCCCAAACAGTTCCCTCACTTAGCCGTGGTTCTGGATGTGAGCAGCACGAGCAAAGCTGGTAACAAGACACGGACCTGAGCCCTTTCTATCTCAACAGCGGAGATGCCCTCCAGGCTTTGCAGGTTCCGGTGTCTGGTCCAGGGAGGATATGACAAGAGAATCTGCCGGAGGCACGGACGGTATCACAATAGCCTCTTGGATTGCTGATGATGAACGAGCTTCAGGCTTCAGATGCGCCGTAGCCTTTAAGTCGACGTTCATCGACTCGAGTGTGACATGATCAATATCTCTAGCAGCGGGATTTGCCAGGGAGCAAAGGGTTGGCTCCACCTTGCGACTCATCATCCATCCATATGACTGCACTCGCCTTCGCGTCAAGCACTTCTAGTTGGCAAGACCTGTTTATGACATAGCAGAAACATCAGTTTGTACATCGAATTGTCGACAATTCAACTTTTGCATCAGAAATTATAGTGGGTGTTTGGTTCCAGCATATTGATGGAACAAGCACTACCCACGAAGATTATGCACATGCTATTTTCATCGCGATAAGCAATTATGTAGGCGAAACTAAATCCATTTTGTCCACTAGTAGATTCCTATCAGTTCCGGGTCATGTAGTAAATGTTAGAAACCATCAAATTTAGAAGAATGGAAAGAAAAGGGATAATTTTCACTGAATTTGAGCACACTAATCAAAGGTTCAACTTAGACTTGGTCTTTCTACTGTAATGTTACTACTGTACCAGAAAACAAGAAAAAAGGGGGCCTGCATAACCAGTCCCCTATAAAGTAATGGTTATAGCTCGCACAACCATATTTGTCGGTGGGTAAAAGCAACAGAGGATGGTAAAGGCTGAAAGAATGCAGCAATTTAAAATTTTGAAACATGGGCATTTTATATGTCCAGGAACAATATGTCCCATAAGGATTTATATGTATCTGGTTTACCTTCTTGCACAAGCTGCCTGGATCATATGTTTGCTCAGAGGCCTCTGCTGGAAAACCATACAAATGCACTCTAGGTAAAACACTCAGATCACAAATCTTACATTTGTCGACAGTATGTGTAATGCCATCAACAGAGAACATTGGATATTATATTATACAGCAAACAGAACCAATGATACAATACAATTTTTGTTTGAGAGGGAATACAAATAAATGATACAATATATATGTGTTGTTCAGCACAAGCATGGGTTACTGGAACTTGATAAAAACATAACCAAATATAAGATATACTGCAGTACAATCTACCAAAGTCGTCTAGCTCAAGTCATCAGGAAAAATCTACATTATTACAGGCATAGATGAATGAACTGTATTTTGATAAAATTAATTGTGGTGTACAAATGAATCTGCAGTCCAGCAACAACAGTATCAACGAACTGCTTCAATTACAAAAAAGAATAAAGGATAAAGAATTTCTGTTGCATCATATTCAATCTTCGTATGATTGGTATTTAAGTTGAGAAAGATCGGTAACCTTTATTCCATATATACAACCAAAATAGTGCTAACAGGTGCGGCAAAAGAGTCAGGCGTGAGTTCATAACCATCCTAATTTCAAACAGCACCTGCGAATGTATTCGAACAGTTGAAGCGACTTTCAGGAGATCCACATTGATGTACGTGCAAGATTATACTTGAGAACAGACAAGGCCTCTTATCTAACACCGAGGATGAACTGTACATCTGCAAAGACTGGTGGGACTCCTAAACTCTTTATTCCCTAACTAACTTGTCCCAATTCTGTACCACCACAATGTACCCAAAGAGGGACTTCCTTTTCTATGACCAAAAGAGGACGTTACACGGCCCAGCACCATGGAAGAACAAACAAAAGAATGGACAGCGAAAGGAAAAGCCTCCCATCTTACTCAGTTAATGGTAGCTAGGCAACAAGTCGTAGTGCATTGATCACCAAGCAGCCCGTCCCAAGCTTCAATAATCCTCACTGGCACTAAGCCCAGATAGCCAGTGATGACATGGCAATAGCCCCGACAAACAAGGCAACGTATGAGCACACTTGCAGCCTCGGATTGCAGCTCATCCTCCGGCTCAGGAAATCAGCAGCAATGAGATCCACTAATGCCATATAGACCAGTATACCAGATGACATTGAATCCAGAATGCCTTCCACCACCAATGCCCTGGGGCTGTTGGCATTGTAGAATGACGCGATCCCCGCCCCCACGGTGATCCCAGCAGGTGTTGTGATAGCAAAGAAGAAAGCCATCAGGAGTGCAGAGAAATTCTTGAACTGCGCCTGCATTTGTTCATACAGAGTGTGTTGAATTGATGCAATTAACATGAAGGGGACATGAGTGCTAACTCCGAGTGAGGAACTGTTAACCTTAGAGCAAAAATGAAGTGGACATTAACCTCAGAAATGCAGCCACCCAAGGCAAAACCCTCGAAGAACTGGTGGAAGGAGAGGGCGGCAACAAGAGGTTTAATGGTACATGGGCTTTGCGAAACGCCCAAGGATAGCCCGATGATCACCGAATGAGATACAATCCCCGTCTCCAGAATCTTGTTGAGAATACAGAAAATCATTATTCGGTATACTTCACAAATACACTACTGAAAACATCAATGCAAGAGACTACATTTTGTATCTTTGGTCGTCTGTGCAGTTGTACTGACATTTTTCAGATATAACTTAGCAAAGGAAATTTCACTGACCAGAACTCAAACATACAGGACAGAGAGCATCTCCAATAGCTCCTGTAAAAGTGATTTTACCGGGGTGCCCGTATAATTTAGGGGAAGTTGTTTTGTGAGGTCTTTTCTCTGTTCCCGTAAACATCTTCCCCTAAAATCTGTTTTTCTCTTTCTATTTTCCATTAAACAAGCATACAAATGGCACATACATGTACTCCCTCTGTCCCTCAAATGGATGTATCTAGCACTAACTTGGTGCTAGATACATTCATTTGAAAGACAAGCTTGGGACAAGTATTTTTCAGACGGAGGGACTATATACTATCATCATAATAATTCAAACAATGTTATTTCTGACACACATACTTGATACTCATTTCAAATTCACAATTTACGAAATATGATTTGAAAGTCAAATTCAAACATAACAAATTCAGTAAATAATCCAAAGTAGATATAAGAAACTGTTCAAACACGGGGATGTACTATGTGTTTACAAAGCTACTGCATAGAACGGTAGTAATAATACTATGATTTTGCGAATTTTAAGTTGTCTGATCTAGTGATCTTTGGGATAATTGGATTAAAAAATGTACTGTATAAAAGATGTCACTTGTGTTTAAGTAGAAGTTTGTGGCCCTAAGAACTGGCAACAACATTAAATTGCCCGTACCTGCGAGACAACCACATGATGAGCTTGGGACGGCCTCTCCTCGCTCCCATGCCCATGGTCATGGCCATGGCCCTGGGCGTGGGCGTGTGCATGGGCGTCGTACACGGCTCCACCATCGCACGCGTCATGGCCATGCGCATGGCTGTGCTGGTGCGCCGCCGCGTGCGCGCGCATGCCCACGATGTGCATGGCGTCCTGCTTCTCATCGTCGCCGCTCATCGCGGCGGCAGCCATCCCTGACAGGGAGCCGTCCTCGAGCAGCGCCGTGGTGTCGTCACGCGCGGCTGTGGCCGCGGCTGCAGCGGCCTCCTCGCCGTGCCTGCGCTCGTAGAAGCGGGTGCCGACGAACTCCATGACGAGCGTGCCCAGCGCGGCGAGCATGGCGATGAAGCCCGGGAAGGGGAACCGGCGCCACGGCATGGCCGGGAGGCACGGGTCGGCGAACTTCTCCTCGGCGTCGTGCATCATGTGCACGAACCCCGTGGCGAGGATGACCCCCGCCGCGAACGCCTTGGCGAGCACGAACATCCCGCCGCCGGAGGACCCGCCCTCGCCGCCGCCGCCCCCGCCGCGCCGCCTCCGGCCGACGAGCGGGATGGCGACGCCGACCGCGCCGGCGATGAGGATGGCGGCGACGGCCACCATCTTGAGCCTGAGCGCGGCCGCCTCGTCGCGGCACTCCTCGTCGTCGCCCGCCCCCTCCTCGCAGCTCGCCGCGGAGACCGACGCTGCCACCGCCGACGACCAAGCGGTGCCCCGCCCCGTCAGAATCACGAGCTCCCACGATGGGTTTAGCAAAAAATAACCATAAATAGCCCCTTAATTAGCCTACGTACCTGCGAATTGGTGCAGGTGGGCGCGGAGGTAGGGGACGTAGTACGACTCCGTCTCCTGCCATTAGAGGAACGGAGAAACCCGAATGATTAACGAATTTCTTCACGCAATTCAGCGCTGTGTAGTAGAACAACGCGGCAGCAGGACAAATAAGCAGGGGATTCTGAACGCCATGGCTGCCGCTGTGATGAAGAAGAAGAAGAAGAAGAGAGGACGGCAGGGGGGGCTCACCTCGAAGAACGCCATGGCCGCCGCGGACAACAATAGAATAACAATCCGATCCTGCTCACTCTCCAGAACAGTCGACGGATTATTCGATCCGATTCGAGGAATGAAATTAAACCCAATTTATCACCGCGCGGCGCGGCTGCTGCATGCGGCGGGGAGCAGACACATGCGATGCGTCGCCACATCGGCGCGCGAGGGGCCCGCCACGGGAGGGGGGTGTCGTCATCCCCGAGCCGCCGCCGTCGGTTGGGGGATCTCACGGGGCCCCGGCGGGCCGGCGCCGCGGGCGGGCCCGGTCGTGCGTGCGTGCGGGAGGGTCCCATGGGCCCAGCGGTCAGTGGGACGCCGCGGAGGGGGGCCGGTCAGGCGTGCGGGGTGGCGGGCGTGGGGGCCGTTATCGGTGGCTCGCGTGGGCCGGCGTTTCGTTACGCGGGACGCGGGCAAGTGGACGTGGAGGTACAACGATGTCGACACTATGGCGCCCGCGCGCGCCCGTGCCGCCGGGCGGAAGGTCGTTGTGGGCGGCATGATCTACGCCCGGATTGCCAACTGCGATCCCGCCTTGGCTCTACACGCATTGTCTACGAATCTCACAAACGATAATCTACTAGCTCTTTCCGACGAAAGGTACACTCTCGCCCAGTTTTTAATACTTCCTCCGTCCCATAATATAAGACGATTTTTAATACTACACTAGTGTCAAAAAAAACATCTTACATTATGAGACGGAGGGAGTATTTATTATACGTGAAGCCTCTCGGGAATTCCCAGCAAAGTCTCAAGCTCCGCTAGTTCTCGGCGGTCCCACTTGTATGATATTCTGCAATACACCACACTACAGAGCCTCAAGAGGAGGAGTACGCATACGCAGCTGACATAAGCTCTCATGAAAACTAGTAGTACTAAATCAACGACAAATAAATATACATGCTACTCATCTGACCTTCTTTTTCAACTCTGTTTTTTTCGAGAAAACTTTCGATTTATTCATCAACTGTCAAGGTAGTACAAAGAACACTAGAAGTAAAATTTACATCCAAGTCCACAGACTACCTAGCGACGACTACAAGCACTGAAGTGAGCCGAAGACGCGTCGCTGTCATCGCCCCTCCTTTGTTGAAGCCGGGCAAACATTATTGTAGTAGACAATCGGGAAGTCGTCGTGCTAAGGCCCCATAGGACCAGCGCACCAGAACAGCAACCGCCGCCGATGAAGAGAAGTATAGACCGAAAGGATCCAACCTGCAGACACACAGAAGTAGACTTTCAACTCTTGATGAGGATTAGATCACACTTCATCGCTGAATCACACAAAGTGATGGGTCATATATGCCTAGATTAATTTAGTGCTTTAGAGGGAGAATATTTGATGCACCGGCTGCTTGTAGAGCAAACAATGAACCAAGCCCAGTTGATACTTTTGTAAGTTCTTTTCCCGTGAAATAATAAGACACACTCTCTCTCCCTTTCGGTATATGTCAAGTCGTCGGTGATTTTTCCCCGTGGGAGTTATGCGGGCCGCAACGCCATTGAAATGAAAGAAACCATAGTAGAATCAGGGAGAAGAAGCCGTTGAAACTTTAATGGCGCCACAATTGTAGAGTTTGAGTGCCCTCCAAAACACCCCCCATAACCTACGAATATGGTTGAACCCCTCTTTTTGGAGTATCTTTCAAACATTATGAAATGTGCAGGGATGACGACTCTATTGGAGTGTCTTTTGCCTCCAGAGTCTCCATATTAGCGGTTATTATAGAGGGAGGGACATATCACGACTCTGCTACATTTTCATCGAACTGCAAATACAACTACATTCGAACCTTCAAATATTCTAAGAGGTACTTAATCACTCCAATCTATCACTAGTAGAAAAATGGCCATTTGTCCCGGTTCATAAGACCCATCTGTCTTGGTTGGGGAACCGGGACTAAAGGGTCGTTACTAATGCCCTAAGCCTTTAGTCCCGGTTCTTATACTAACCGGGATAGATGGGCCTCCACGTGGCCGCTCCGGCGAGCCCAGGCACGAAGGCCTTTGGTCCCGGTTGGTAGCACCAACCGGGACCAATAAGCTTCCACGCGTCAGCATTTCAGAGGCTGATTTTTTTTGAAAGGTGGTTTAGGAGTTTTGGGGGTTAATTTAGGTTGGTATATGTAGCTAATAGAGAGATGTGTCTTCTCTTATCTCCGTTCTACTGCTACTGCTATGCCTAAACATGACTTAGATTGAAGTGAGGCAACATGTGGTGCATGTCAAAAGTAATACTAATCCTAACTTGATCAAGTCTGGATTGTACTACTTTCGACATGCATCACATGCATGTTGCCTTCACTTCAAATCCATGTTCATTTCACCCGCTGATATATAATAACTCTTCATGCTCGCATCATGCATCATCATATATAATAACAAGTCTACTAATCATCATCATACAACTTCTACTCGTTATTAATAACAAGTCATACGATCATCATCCTCATAGTCATCGAACCAACCCTACTTAATTGTTCTTAGCACATGATCATCAGTATTAGGTAGGACCTAAATACCCTCTTTAAGGTAAAATAGCATAAAACAATATAGACCCTGACTCTCCATTATGGAGAATGGAGATCATCATGTCTCCAATTCTTACGCTTCGCTTCCTTTTACTTCCAAGAACCTCCTTACGATTGTCCATACATTTTTTCCATCTTTTGATTTGCATATCTCCATTCCTTTTAGAAATCTAGTATGGACAGTTAAGATTCGTAGGATGACATGGCTGTATGTTCAAAACATTAAGGCTACCTTTCTGATACATCAAATGAGGCACACAATTATCTCGGATTATCTGTTGAAAATATAGTAATAACTTCATAGTTAGCAATGATGTACTAGTTTTAGAAGTATGCAAAAGATGCATGGTCGTAATAGTAAAAAATCTTACCAGGGTATCTCCATGGTAGTTACCGTAGTTCAACACATGCACTAGTGGCACGTATTGATCATAATGTTGAGGAGTTTGATTGTAGATATTGTAATTCTCGATGTCAGTACAAAATCCGACCAGATGATTTTTCTCCTTGTAAGTTAATTTGGAGCCATCGGTGTAGTGGGTTTTGTCTACCATCTCCTGCACATTCTTTGAAGAATGAAAATAAGCTGTCAATGGAAATAAGTTATCAACTATTTTGAAATAAACAATATAAATTAGCTAATAACTATGTTTGAGAAACTCACATAGTGGTAGAATTGGAGGCGTATCAACAAGGACCCAAATGTCCATATTGTCTTGCTCGATTTCAGGATCATCAAGATCCATAGTGACAAGCATACCCTCATCAAAACCATACATCTTGCAAAGTGCTTCCCATTTTTTGCAACCAAAATGGGTTACGCTCTCAGAATTGTACAACTTTACTTCAAAATCCACATCATGATGAGTCCTTAGGTGAATTTTCTTTGTTTCGAAACTTTCATGGTCTTCAAAACCCATCCTCTCCAAGACATAGCGCCTTGCATGGCATGGGATAAGCTACTCGAATTGTAAAAAATGAAAATTACACGTTGAAATAGTTGTAGTCATGCTTAATTACGAGAAAACATGTGTCGTCGTTGCGTACCGTTTCAACATCGAAGGTCTCCTCGAGCTTAATGCTGAAGCACCGATCATCGTCCAGGTGAGGCATGTCGCACAGACCTCGATCGTCGTGGCACCAGCTGCACTCCCCCGGGAGACTTTCGTCGTCTCATGACGATATTTCCTACGTTCATAATTCAAAGATATAACTTGTACAATTAAATATATGTACTACAAAAACTAAATTAGATCATTATTATTCATCACGGGTTGACTATCGGTCTGTCGAGTCTTTTCTTGAAAACTCTCAGCTCCCATGGTGTATATATTCGACTCTCGGTGATGGTCGCTCCTCACTTTGTCCCCGAGTGCATTACACCAAAATGTCTAGCACACGGGAACGAAGGAGAAGCGACCCCCACGACAACAGTCGGGATTCTTCTTCCTCTCATATATATATATATATATATATATATATATATATATATATATATATATATATATATATATGGTGGAACTCTCCCTCACTGATTCCTCTCTGACATTTGCGACCGTCGGTGATGGTCGTTACTCCTTCTTCCCCTAGTGCATAACAAAGGTCTAGCACCCGAAGAAGAAGGAGAAACGACCCCCACGACAACAGTCAGGATTCTTCGTCCTCTCATATATATATGGTGGAACTCTCCCTCACTGATTCCTCTCTGACATTTGCGACCGTCGGTGATGGTCGTTACTCCTTCTTCCCCTAGTGCATAACAAAGGTCTAGCACCCGGAGAAGAAGGAGAAACGACCCCCACGACAACAGTCGGGCTTCTTCGTCCTCTCATACATGGTGGAGACTCGATAGACTTAAAGTCAACCCGAAATATTATTTAATTATCTTTCTAAAAAAGGATTTGGTTGGTCTCACCTCGAGGTCGGAGGGGTCGGTGATGGGGACGACGGCGGGGATGATGGAGGGGGGCTCCTAGATTTCTGCGAAAACAAAAACCCTATAAGCTATCAACTAATCATATGCATACGCCTTGCATAGTGCTCTCCAATTTTAGCATTCAAAGTACGAGTAGTTTTCCAATTTGAGCATTCAATAAGCAAAATCAAATCGCAAAATAAAGTAGTATTCAAATTAGGATGCATTCAATTATAAGCAAAACTACATCATCTCTTGCATCCGTACATCGTCGAATATTATCACTAATACACCTCGAATACTATCATACATATAACATCGCTAGTACAGCTAGAACCGTAGCGCCCGACGGGTATCGGCATGGGCGGTGGACACCCAAAGAGAAGGAACCATCACAGGATCGCTCCAGTGAGATCCCCAAAAAACCTGCCAGGTATTGTCGAACCTTCCCTCCAACGCAACCATGTAGTGACAGACGTGCTCGTCCTCCTCGCTGACACGGTGACGTACCACCTCCGCGGTGTCCGGAAGCCTCGGCACCATCA